ACTCATGTTCTTCTTGATGTTCTCCTGCCGTGCCAGCACCTCCGTAGCTCTTTGTTTGGCCCCCACGACACGACACGGTGGACGAGAGTGAGTACAGAGTTGGGAAGTGGTTGGATTAGCAGAGAGGCCGGCGTACCGGATTCTGGCCGCGGCCTTGGAGACTGGGCTTTCAATAACGAGCTTGGTGACGTCATCCGCCAGCAACAGGTCGGCCCATGGGAAAGCGTCAATCACCTGTTTTTGAAACACAACGTGTGTTGTGTGTGTGTGTGTGTGTGTGTCGTGTGTGTGTCGTGTGTGTGTGTGTGTGTGTGTGGAATCGGTGGTTGTTTAGACAGTAGGACAAGGAAGTGGGACTCGACACAACGGTGGGCGCACCATGGCGGTAAAATGCTTCGGCAAGGACTGATCGACAGCCAGCACTGCTGCCGTGCCAGCCTCCCACAAGGCACGAGCCTCGTCTGGTACGCACACGCACACGCACCACCGCACACGCACACGACGCACGGCACACACGCAGAGGAATCAGTGTGTGATGCAAGAGGGAGAGGGAGAGGGAGAGTTTGAGCAGCAGATGATGCACAAGCGCTCGCTTACCCTTGATCTGCTGCTCGTCCGCGGGGGAGAGGGTGATGTCGCGGTGCAGGTCGCGCAACACGCCCTCGAGCTCCCTCGCGCTCAGCTGGCCGTGCAGCACCGCCTCCTGCAGCGACATCTTGTCTGCATATATCGAGACAAATAAACACGTAAATAAACAATAAAAATCCATAAAAAACAGTAAATAAGAAATAAAAATTTGTAGAGCAAGAGACCTGATGGTGCAGGGCTGCCTTCCTTGGCCTCCTTGTCGCTGGGTGGCTGCTGGACATCGATGTTCTTGGCGTTGGCGCTAATCTTGGCGGCATTGGACGAGGAGGCGGCCTTCTGCTGGGCCTGCGTCATCTGTTCCTCCATCTGCTTGGTGTAGCGCTCGACCCGCTGGAGGATGAAGGCCCTGGCGGGCGCGTTGGCCCGTGCCAGATCCTGCATGAGGCGGATGACGTCGGCCTTCTTGTGCTGGCTGAGCGCGGACTTGAGAAGCGGGAGATGGAGGTCGAAATCGATTTCCGCAGGGACCTCGTTGTTCTTGGCCAGCAGCGTGCTCGCCTCGAGCGATTGCGGCGTTGGCCTGAAGGAGAAGGCGGCGTTCAGCGCCTCCCTGATGTCGTTGTTGGTGGAGGGCGTGGCACGGAAGCCTCGCGAGGTCATCTGCCCCATTGGCCCGATCGAGGAAGAACCATGCGATTGCAGCAGCAAATGGCGCGAAGCAGGCGAAACCGAGTGGCGGCCCACAGTGTGCAGGGCAGAAGGTGCGATCGCACCAGCAGTGGATGTTCGTGCCAGTCTCTTCATCTTGTTCTAATTAATGCTCCAAAATACAAATCCAAAAATTAGCGGCGAACACGCAAGCCTGACGTCAGCATGATGCACGACAAGCTAAGGAGTTCGAACACCGCAGTTGGCCGCCAGAAACAAGGAGTCGGCTCCCGAAGCTGCTGCCAAGTGGCCAGAGCAGAGACGAAGAGTGCAATGAGCGGATACGGTCATACTGCGAGAGGGGGTGTGATGGAGGCAGAGAGGTGAGGGCTGTTGGATACGGCCATACTGCGCAGAAAGCACCGCTTCCCATCCGAACAGCGAAGTTAAGCTGCGCCAGGCGGTGTTAGTACTGGGGTGGGCGACCACCCGGGAATCCACCGTGCCGTATCCTTTTTGCTTCTTCCATCACTGACTGCTTCAACAGCATGAGTGAGAGAGATCATGGATGATTATTCTTGTTGCTTTTTCTGATCTCAGCCAAATGGCATTGGTAAAGCAACAACTCCATCAACCATTAACCACACAACCATGGTGCTGTGACTACCTAGGTTCAGGCCAGCAGATGGTGTCCCACATCAGCATGGATTCAATTGTTCAGGAGTGTCAGCACTTGCACCACAGAGGTTAGGCACTCACTAAGCCCTCACCAGTTACACCTGGCCATTTACCATGCCAGGGTGCTGCCTGAGACAGTCAAACTCCCACCAGGCAGCTGGGTTCCACTAGGCAAGTCACCTTGCATAGGACAGTTGTGCCACAGGTGCAAATCCACAGGGTTGAATGCATTCCATTAGACATCTTGGGTGCTGACTTGAATCAGTTCTTCAAGGTGTGTAGTTCAGCTACCCCATCCTCCACTGTTCATCATACAGCCCAGCCTGCATCAGAAGGTCAGATCCCACACAACAAGCTAAAGGCAAGAAGAGTGGAGACAGAGTAAAAAGGGTGTGCACCATAGCTGAGGGTGAAGTCCCAGTTGTTGTCTTCTGTGGCCAGGTTGGCAATTCTCCAGACTTGGTGCCAAGTGAAAAAGAGAAAATCAGGAAATGTTGTCTTTTCAAAAACAAAATAACAAGAAGATTGAATGGTGGGGAGGAGGTGAATGTGCATGTGGCCAAAAAAAGCAGTGATGGACCATTAAATAATAAAACTAATTTTGCAGCAATCATAATCCAGCACAAAAACCTCCATTCCACACATTTTGCTCAGTAGAAAGGAATGCAACAATAAACGCCTGGTCATTGCTTAATGTGGTGCTGATAGATGGTAATGCTGAGGGAGTTGCTGTGGCCTTCAATAAGTTGGTGGAATTTGGGGCCTGGGCAGTGCTTGACATCAACACCTCCAAGTCCACATACTCCTACACATGCTCAGTGGTTGCAGCCTCCATTGGTCACATTTGACCACATGCAGCACACCCTTGCCTCATCAGCTCATTGGGCCTCCATGGCTTGGGCTTTGAGTATTGAACAGAGTTGAAACTTGTGGTCATTTGAAATGAGAGGTCCAGTCATTTTGAAAAGTGATTTTGTTTGTGAGTTTAAGCTCATAAAAATAGTTTTGACAACACCAAAATGGTTTTAATTTAAGAATAGCAAGACAAAATTGGGAGCATCTTGAGAAATGGCAGATCAAAATTCCATCATAATGAGAGATATCATGCTGTAACTGGGCCATCAGTCAAGGTCTGGAATGACCAATTTCTATCATGTACATGTTTTGGTACACTTACTTTAGTGTGTATGCGTACACGATGACTATGCATGTTTGTTATGGTCCATTCCTGAATGGCTGGCACACAGAAACCATAAAAGGAAAAATCATGGCTGCTGCAATTTTTATTCTTTATACAAGCAATTCAGGGGGGCTGTTTGTCACATCTCAGTGTGGAGAGTGCCCTTCATCTCTTACTTCTTGGCCTCCTGAGGAGGTGGCTGCTCATTGTGAGGGTGGCCTGGAGCTGCTCTTTGTCATTCAGTTGATATATTAGCAAACATTCTATCATGTATGCATATGTGATAGAATGTCCTGCAGTTTCAAAGCATAATGGGCTTTGATAATAGCATGTATGCAATGGGGCAGTTACCTCCTTCAGGAGCTTCAACAGTTCCTTGTTGTTGGCCATGGCTGATGGCAGGGTGACTTGCACCAATGCATACACAACAACAGAAACTGTAAAACCAGACACTTACTTTATCACATACACATACACAATTACTACATGTTTGACCTACCAATACTTAGTTTATCATGTATGCATACATGATCTGGAAAATCAGAACTTTGCTTGTTTTGTGTAACTGCACCTTGCTTTTACTTTCATACCCTCCATCAATTCCATAATCAGTGGCCAACATGCTGCCCTCACATCCAGTTCATGTTCAACCTCACACCATCTTCATTCAGTTGGGCACTGATTATGGAATTGATGGAGGGTATGAAAACAGTTGTTCTATCAACTATTGTCTTGATTGCCATTGTAGATATTGTAGGGTCTTCCTTGGCCAATCCCAACAGAGCTGAGTAGTTTTTTGGATGTTGATGGACTGGTCAACTGTGTAGTCAAAGGCAATCATTTCTGCTTCAGTGGTCAACTTGGCTTTCACCCCTTACTAGGCCACTGACCAGGTCCTCAGAGCAAGACAAAATAGGTTGTGTGGATCACTAGCCCAGTCTGCATCTGCATGAATTTGGCTTGAAGAAAGCCCTTAGCCACCCAGCATGCTTTGAAGTATTCTGGTGTTCCTTCATCCCTTAGGGTTTATGCTTGTAAGTTTGGAAATTTACTGCTCTTTTTGCTTTTTGCTCCTGCCTTTTCTGGTTTTTGTTAGGCCACTACTTCATAATCAGACAATTCCCAGGGTTTTTCACCAACAATGTTGATGTCACCTCAAGTACCCATGTCAATGGCTTGTTGCTGATTGAGATCTCAGTAGAGGATTTAGCCTTTGACAGCTCCTTGAGCTGCTTTCAAGTTGTGGGAAATGCAGTTTTGGGCTGGATGTGTTCAGTCACAGGAGGCTCATAGTCCTCTGTGTCACTGCTTCACTATCTGCACTGACCTCATCCCCCTCCTCAGTGGAGAGTCCAGTGTGAGACACAAGCTGGTGCTGCTTGCCTGTCCTAACATGGAACAGGCAGGAACAGTGACCCTTGATGACCAGGTATGTCTTCACCTCCAAATTGATGAGGTGACCTGTTCAAACAGCTCACTCTGCTCTGTTAGCTCATGAGCACATGCAAGACAATCTTCAAAGCTGTGAACAGATTGGGATGGTGTGCACACAACCACCACCTCAATTTGAGTGAAAGCACATCATACAAGTACTGCACTGTGCAAGCCAGGATGTTGATTGCTGATTTGATTGAGTTGGCCTTGTGCTGCCTGGTTGGGTGCCTGTGCCTATAGAAGGGGGTGTGATGGAGGCAGAGAGGTGAGGGCTGTTGGATACGGCCATACTGCGCAGAAAGCACCGCTTCCCATCCGAACAGCGAAGTTAAGCTGCGCCAGGCGGTGTTAGTACTGGGGTGGGCGACCACCCGGGAATCCACCGTGCCGTATCCTTTTTACTCTCGCTCTCCTGCGCGCACGCATGGATCGTTTATTGTCGCATTCTTTTCACGCTTGCGGACGAGTTTGTCTAGGTGCTGGGTAGGTCGCTGGGGTCATCTTCAGGGATGCAGAGGCTGCCCGAAGCGGCGGTCTGCTCGTCGACCATGCGCTGGAACCAGGCTTGGTCCTCCACGTTCTTGAACGCCAGCCGGTGGAGCTTCCGCATCTTGCCCAGGTACCGCCTGTGCCGGCACTTTTCCAGCCATTTTCGGCACTCATCGAACCGACGCGAGACTGTAGTACACCAGAGAATGTTCGTAAAGTCAACACGACACACACACACACACACGACACACACGTGGCACGACACGCGCAGAATGCAAGCGAGAGGCGTGGAGTACCTGCGTAGATTCGAGCAAAGCAAAAGTCGGTGTAGGGATCGTTCAGCGCACTGTCCGTGCTGTTGAGAATTTGCTCGGCTTGCGCCACGGACTCTTGCAGGTCCTTCCGCCAGGCCGCCAACCGTTCGCCAAGCACCTCGGTTGGCTCACGGTCGTAGTCCTATTTTAACAATTGAGGTTTGCACTTAATGATCTAAACGGTCCGTTGTGGTTGGTTGGTTGGTTGGTTGGTTGGTTGGTTGGTTGGTTGGTTGGTTGGTTGGTTGGTTGGTTGGTTGGTTGGAAAGATGGATTGAGTATGTGCCTCTTGCACCGCAGAGATGTGGTTGTCGAGAAAACAGGCTCGCGTGAGGTAGACCACAGCGAGCCCGTGGATCAACTGGATGCACATGTCCGTGTCTCCGAGGGCTACTAACTCCTGTGCCTCCTGTTCATCATCAAACGTGCCGTTGGTCGTGTCGTGTCGTGTCGTGTTGTGTCGTGTTGTGTCGTTGGTCGTGTCGTGTCGTTGGTCGTGTCGTGTCGTGGGTCAGCAAAGTGAGAAAACAAATCCCTACGTGGAAAATGAGGACACGGCGTACAGCGTATATACTGGCGGCTTCATCGATCAGCGACAGCTTGGCCTCGAGGGCCGGTATCAGCTCCGCCTGCTCCTTGATGGCATCTGCTCCAGCGCGCGACAGACGAGTTTGGTGCAAAGCTTTGCGGCAACGCAAAAAAGCGGGAATGAGCCAAAGGCCACAGGCAGCGTGCGTGTACCGGCCATGTTGGAAAGAAGCAGCGGCGCAGAGAACTCGTGGATCGCCAGCTCGTACTCGTCGATCGCCTTGATGTACCACTCAAGCGCCTCCTGTGCGCCGTGGTTTAGCAAAAAAGAAAAGAAAAAGAAAAACTACGAAAAGAAAGGAAGAGTCCGCACCAGCGGTTGATCCTGCTCGAACAGTTTGGTGGCGATCTCGTGCATAATGTAGGCGCACTCCTCGTTTTCCTCCTCAGTCCTATTTGCTTGCTGATTTATATTTAAAAAAAATAGTCAGACATAAATATTATTCGATATATTGAAATAAAATAATAACCCTGGGAGGGACGCGTACGTCGGGGAAGAGCTCGAGTGCACTCTTGAACACTGCGATGGCTTCTTCGTGCGTGTGGATGTCCGAATCACCGTACGTTCGTATCACACCTGCACATAAATAAATATAAAAATTACTCAAATTAAAAAGAGGAAAAGAATGTTTTTATATATAAAAAAAGCAGGGAGCCAGGGTACCGGCCAGGTAGGAGTGCTCGATGGCCTTTATCGTGGCGTTCGGGGGCCAACTCCTCCGATTTCTTGTAGGCCTCGATGGCTTGCTCGTACCAGGTGCGCAACCCTGGTTGAAGGTGGCGTGTGCACGCACGCGTGTTTAGTGCGCGTGTGCGGTGATGCGTGTGGCCGTTAAAATAAATAAATAAATAAAAGGAAAACAAAACAAGCACAATCCATGCCTCTCTTGGTGTGTGGGAACTGCTTTTGATAGACGGCAAACTCGATGGACACGTTGCCCAGGCCCGTGTAGGCCGCACGCATGTCCCTCCTGTTCTGTACGCCCGAGACGTGAGCCATGTCCACTCGCATCCGCAAACGGACGCACGACACGCACGACACGCACGACACGCACACACACACACACACACACACACGTACAAGAGGGAAAGAGAGGGCCGAGAGAAACTGCTCCTGGCTGACCAAGTAGAGCATCCGCGTGTCGAGGTCGTCTCGGTCTTCGTTCCACTGCATCGGGTCGTCTTCCACCTTGGGCCGCTTCTCGTAGAGGTGGTACCCGCCGGCGAGGTACATGGCCGCAGTCCTCTCGTGTGGGTCGGCCCCGAGTATCGCCTCCACTTCTTTGGAGCGCTCCAATTTCCTGTTTTGTAACGTGTGCGTGTGCGGTGGTGCGTGTGCGTGTGCGTCAGCGCATAGAACGCGGTTCCACAAGCGCACGCGATGCGTGTGATTACCTTCGGAGCCAGAAGAATTGCTTCCACGACGTGAGCCCGCGCACGAGCGGCAGATCGCGCTTGTACTCCTCGTGCTCCGCGGAGCGACTCGCGTACACCTCGTCCACCTTGCTCTCCTCCTCCTCTTTCTCTTTCGTCCCTTCTGTTCTCTCTTCTTCTGCTGATACGCCCTCGGTGAGTTCTTTCACTTCGTTCACTTCTTCTACGGCGGCTTCTTCTTCATCGGCTTCATAGTCGTCTTCTTCGTCTTCGCCATCATCATCGTCTTTCTCCCCCGCGGCCAGCTTCCGCCGCACCTCCTCGCGATAGCGACGCGCTTGTGCCGCTGTTGCCGACCATTCCCGCCCATACAAGCTCCGCCACTGCCTGCCAAATAATTATATTCCATCAAAAGCGAATAAGTCATAATG